ATCCTGTCCACGTCCTCGGGAGCCACAGAGTCAAACTCCTCCCATATAACAGTCTCAAGACCTGCTCCCGTCTCCTCCCCCGGGGCCACCCAGTCGGAGTCAAGACCTTCTCGAATCCGAGCGACTTTGTCATGCAGATATTGAGCAAAATCCTCAGCCCTCCCCTCCAGGGGATCCTCCCCCCCCCTCAACTGAAGGATTGTACTAATACAATCACGCAGATTCACTTGAGTCTTGACTTCACATGAGCAAAGCCTAGGCTAATGTCTTGTTTTGTGATGTCCTCTGGGATGCATTTTGGCCTACTCTGATGGTGGAGAGGGTGCTTTCTAAGACGTCCTTTCTCATTAGTGGGCTGGATCTTTGTTCTTCCTGGGTCCTTTGTGCAGCTGGGAAGATGGTTAGTTCCTGGATCTGGGAGATTGCTAATGCCTTGCTGTAGAAGGGGACATTGCCCATGGCCTTAAAGGAGATCATGGTGCATCTTAAGAGAGACTTGCTAAATCCAAAAGCATTAAGTATCTACTGTCTGGTCTCCAATCTTCCCAGTTTCTGAGAGTAAACCTAATACTGATAGTGAGCAAAGAATGAACATCTGACTAAGCTGAGTTCCTTACACTGGGTCCACGTGGCATCATTGGACCCCAGAAAAGTCTCTTTCTGTACATGTCATTTTCTCACTGGCTTAGCTAGCAACTGCTCTTGCCTTCTTCTCTAATAGGAAGGCAGTCAGTGGAAAGGGAAGGAGGTATTGTAGAGAAGGAAAATTTGCTGTCATCTGTTTTGGGGAGGATGTATATTCTCTGTGTCTACTGCAGTCCAGTGGGAGTTTTCTGAAAACTTACGTAGAAGCTAGAACTATCATATACATCTCCATTCTGGAGGACCAGTAGATGGCAGCCAAGAAATGCAAAACCTGATCTAGATTCTTGTAGCCCAGATCTGCTAGCAGTCATACAGAACATGGATGTGTAAGTAAAGGGAGAGCTTTAGAAAAGGGAGGAGAGAAAAAGTGTTCTGAAAGTTCTCTGTGTTGAAGAAACATTTACTGGTTATTTGAATGCAAATGGTGGATTGTATCCTCTATCTCCACTAACACAGAGTTTTAGTCTCTGATAAACTAATATTTAGATGCAGTCTCTTTATTGTGTCATTCATCCAATACTTGCTGCAGATCATTTGGATTGACAGGAAACAAATGTGCAGATTGGTTGGGATGCATTCACATCTCAACTGAGTGATCTTTTCTGACACCACAAGGGGGCACTACATGTTCTCCATGGATGTGTTGAACCATTACACCAAGCATTTCATTAAACTCATGTAAACTTGTACTGCTATCAGTTGCCAACCAACCTTCATACATATTTGAAATATTTCATAATTCCTCCCCTGTTCACTTACTTATATATTTCTAAACCAAACTTTAAATAAATGTTTTCATTCATACATTCCGTTGTCATCTCATAAGATATGAATCTAAAGCTTCGCTTATGAATGGCATTTACTCAATAAAGCTTATCATTAAATCTGGTCCACATAGAAAAATAATGTATTCTTGTCTCATTT